CCAGTCTCCACGCTGCTTTAGCAGGAGCCGTGGAGAACTTGGGTCAAGGCCTGCTAGGCAGCTCCTGCCCAAAGCCCAGCACCTCTGCAGCATCAAGAACACTTTGGATTTGACCTCTCACTCTCTCTTGCTTCCAGAGCCTTTCCCACACAGCTTGCCCAGAGCAGCCAGCCACAGAGGGCAGGCCRGTGCTGCATCCCACAGCCCCACGCTCCAGCCAGCAGCTGCTGCCCTCCCAATAACCCCACTGGGCAAAACAGATTAAAAAAGTAACAGGAAAAAAAAACCCCACAGCTCCCTCCCTTTTCTCAAAGGATCCTTGTGCCTGAATCCCAGCTCACCAGGATGGATCCCTGCTTTCACACAYAGGAGGGAGTTTCTCAAAGGCACTGCTTGATATCCTTTTCAATGTCACTGCCCCATGCCCTGGGTGCCTTTTCCTCTCACACTTCCAGAACAYGGAGATAAAATCTAAAGCATTATCWCARTGCGGGGCCTCTGACACCTAAGCTGGAGAATGTCCAAAATTCCATGAGCTCTGCAAGACTCTGAATGATTATKTCTTCCATGCTTTGTTCTCTGCAGCCTTTTTACACTTCCCTTTCACAACACTTCAATCCTTTTCCCCATCTTTCTGTCTGTCCCAAGGGACACCCACTTGTACATTAAAAGGTACCAGAAAGTACAAAAGCAAGGATTCTGGCCACAGCCTTGGAGGCAGAATAAATGCTGAACATTCTGGGAGAGTGCTCTTCGTGGGAACCCTCCCAGACTGCATGAATGAACCAGTAATTMACAGAGGCAGGAAGAGAGCAGGAGATGCATCACCACCCTGGCACCAGTTCCCTCAACACATCCATATCCTATCACCTGCAGCAGAGTCCAACCCTCCCTTTCTTTATAATTCCTTAAAATATCCTAAAGTTCAGGGGGAAAACATCTGAGTGATCCCAAAGGGACAATTCCTCCAMCCTCTGCATTCATACCCCATCACCAGAAAACTGCCCTGCTCCGAAAGGGAAACAAAGGGAAGAAAACTCTGTGCTGCCATCATCCCTGACATAACCTCTGAGGAAGAGGAGAGGTAAATGCATCTCTCCAGTCACCTGGAAAAAACTCTTCCAGAATAAGATACTGAAGAGTCACATAGGAATAGTCAAACAACCTTTTTGAGCCAYGAGGTTCTTGGGCCTCACATTTATGCCTTAGGATTTCAGCTTCTCTATTTCCATGTCTCTGTACCCCTGGAATTCTCCAGTGTTTAACTCCAGACTCCACAGACAGTGCTGAGCT